CGCGCGTCAAACGCGGCCTCCGCTGAACGACCGTTCGATGGGGAGTGGGCCCGCTGGGCAGACAGGCCGGCACCCCGCGTGCAACAAGCTGTGGGGAGCGTGGGGGGGGCGGTTTGGGGAATATTTTTTTTAAACCTAGATGCTCTGAGATGCAATCTGATGTATTCTGAGCTGCAGTAACAGACACATTTGGATTACAGTATGGTCCTTTTTCCCAATTTGGTTTCTCCTGGTACATTCAGAGTTCACCAAAAGTTTCCAAATTATGACGATTTAGTAATTATAAGAGTTAGACAATTAAGTACGTAAATAGCGTTACTCAAAAACAAAACAATGCTTCTTGTGCACATAACATGCAATGCATACAAATATACTCAACTGATTTATTAGTAGTAGCTCATAAAACACTTTCACTTTGGAGAATAATTAGAGCAAACTAAATGCAAATAAATTATTTTTTTTTATATTATACTTGAGCCAATTGTAACCGGCCGAAACAGCAGAGTAGACGGTCAATTCGGCCGGTGGCCGGTTCCTAATGAGAACACTGATCACAGGTCAGCAAGTTCAGTATGTTGCCAGCAATATTAGGTAGGTTGTATGTCTAACTTACTACCCACGATTAATACTACAATGACGATTAAAAGTACTTAGTAGGCCTACTATTAGTAGTTAGTAACGATTTTTGTTAATTATGCTACGAGTGTCCATACTAATATAACAGTATAAGTGAGTGTTACTCTGATATAGGGTCAGTATCTAGTAATACTGTGCCAACATATAGGCCTACTACTAGTTTTTTCCCTTTCTAGTTACCAGCGTGTAAGTAAATACTAGCTGACGATTTAGTCTTCCTATACAATGCATCTGTACAATTCAATCTTAATTAAATTATTGCACTAGCTGTGACTGGTGAAGGGCCCTGTATCCCCAATTAACCACGGCACAGGCGCAGTGCAAATTTCAGTATTAGTAATATAGTATTACTATTAGTTACTAGTTTATTACTAAATAGTAATAACTAATACCATAGGCGCCGGAAGTGGGGGGGAGACAAAACCAAAAAGACCCCCCCCAAAATGTATGAGCTAAGACTTGTTAATTCTAACGTTCAAAAACTAATTTATACATTCATTTTAAGTTTTCGCTGCACGCTTTGCACGCGAACAGATTATCTCAGTTTGCATTCAACGGTTGTAGCTTTCCGAGGGCCAAGGCTAAAGGAAAATCGTGTCAGTATCAAAATGTTAGCTTTAAGTATAAAGTTTTGCTTGCAATAGCAACTTTAATACACAGGAGTCATAGGAGTGGTAAGTCCGCAGTTGTGAGTTGTGACTGCAGTCTTCAATCGCCAGCGCATAAAAACATAAAACAATACTTTTTCAACAGTCAATTTCATCTGGGGAATAGACGCATGAAGTGGGGGCGCCCTCTCCCCATCCAAATCGTGAGCCCCCTTAGGTCTTTGCCCCCCAATCCAAAACTGCTTCCGGCGCGCCTGACTAATACTAGTACTAATAGTAATAGTAATAGTACTAAAAACTACTAATACTCACTAGGGCTGAGAGGGACTATGTCCGGAACGTACCCTGGTACTATCTAATAATATGCCGGACCGTACGGCGTACCTCGCCTACTCCACTAACGAGTCTCTAGGGAGTCGCCTACGCCTACTCCCTAACCCTAACCCTAACAATAACCCTAATCCTAACCCTAACCATATTAAATAGTGACCAGCGTACGTTCCGGCAGTACTCTGGAGTCTGGGAGACATTTCCGACATAGACCCTATGAGTATGAGTATGAGCCTCACTAGGCCCTAGTCTAGTTCAGTTCATTGCCTAATAATACTAATATAGCAATATTACTAATATTAATAATAGTAATACTACTAGTAATAGTAATAACACGTTTATGAACACTACACATAATTAAATTTCATTCACGGGGGCTATTATTAATATGGCTCATCTCAAAGCTTAACAATGTGCCCTTACCTGCCATGGTGTTCCTCAATTCAATGGAATTTTGATTAACATCCTACCAAATTGCTAACTCCTCTTCCTTACTTGTTTTCTCGCGCACTGTATGTCAGAGGTTATGTGAAATGTGTGACCACATTTTACTGGCTAATATCAGAGCTAATATTTCCAAGGACAACCAATAGGCTCGCGCTTAACATGGTTCATCGACCGGTAATATCACGTGACGATTTCCTTCTTCGCCATCTTTTCACCGGACAGTTCTTCTTAGGCGTTCGTTGCACGATTACCCTCCGTTTATATATATACAGGAATCGGCGAAAGACAGTTACGAAAATGACAGAAGAAAGTCCATACTACTCTCCATTTTTTGGCGTCATGGGAGCTGCGGCTGCGATGTCTTTCAGCGGTAAGAGTTGTTCAATATAATGAGAAGTAAAATCCTCCATTGGGACGATTGGCGGCGTATTCTTCAGTCCGTTGCCATATGTACGGTTTTCTCTACACCGCGTTCAACTGCTTGTTAAACCTCATTGAATTTATCGTTTGTTCTCCTATTTCTTAGACTGTTAACAGTTACTATCTGGTGAGTATTGTCTTTTCTGGCCCAATGGTATGAGCTGTCCATGTTTGCACATGTCGCACATTTCGAAAATTAATTGGGGACAGCTCTTACTTGGTCTAAAGGCCCGCTTATGTCGGCCTTACGACCTAGTCGTTGACAAGGTTTGAATATCGTACGTCAAAAACCGGCCAGATCGCCGATAAAATCATCGGCGACCAAACTCGACATGAGTTCTCTTACAATCGAAAATACGGTCGCCGACTGCGATCGCAGGAATAGAACATGTTCTATTTCTATGCGGCTGTCGGCGACAAATCGTGAGTGGCAGCCAATCACCGCAGCGTGTTGAGTGACATGATTATCAAAAGTTACGTGATTAATAAAATGGCAGCCTACACAGCACTCGTCAGCAGTTTACAAGGAGGGATTATTGCACAAACCCTTTCTCAAATATATATAAAATTTTCCGTATATCACATAAAAAAAAGTTCTGCATATGATTATAATGATGTTCAGAAAATAGAGGATCTAGATTTACGAAGTTACATGATGTTTACTGATAAGTGCCATTTTGTTGGTCACGTACGTGACTCGTTTTATGTAGGCTGGTCCCGTCGTCAAGCTTGCTCTGTTTGTGCTAAAGAACTGCTTGTGCTAGTACAAATACTGGGGCTGCGAACCCGTCTACGTTTCATGCGGTAACGCTACGATCTAATCGGCGATTTGCAGTGTAGTCACTTTAAGTCGACATGAGTGTTGCTACGCTGCTAATCGGCGCTAAAGTAGTCGCCGATAGTCAAATCATAGGCCGACCTGAGCGAGCCTTTAGTCTTACTTTTAGTCTTAGTCTTATTCTTACTGTTATATAATACGCAGTGGCTGGAGGTGTTGTTCCCAAACTTGGAATCTTGCACAAACTTGGAATTTCAGCGCATCCGCAGTTTGGGCAACCAATCTTGAGATTGGGCAAACAGAGGTAAACAGAGCTTGCACAAACATATGATTATTAGGATTTCAAATGTTATATCATAACTATAAGGTCGTATACCTTCTTTCCTCAACGTGTTTGGCACCTTTGTATAAATATTAAATGATTATAATAAATAATTGGATAAATATGAGATAAATTTCTTCTTAGTTTGCACCACGCCCACCACACACTCGCTATGAGCGGTTGTTGAATCACCGACTGTTTTCAGTTTGCCCAATCTTGAGATTGGTCGGCCAAACTAGGGAATCCGTAGTTTGGGCAGCACAATCGCTGCACAATCTCGAGATTGTGCAGATTCCAAGTTTGGGTACGACAGAGGTACGGCAGCCGTATCTTAATGTCTCGAGGCTACGGGTACGGCAGTCCATTTGCGCATGCGTCGCTTTCCCACAAAATAATGTCGTTGAAAATTAATTCACGATTTAATTCACGATTAAGATTTCTTGATGAGCTAAAAAACACTCGGATTTGAAGTATGAAAATGAACATTATTGTGCCAGCTAGCCTACACCAGTTGGTTGGGATTGATTGTCAGTTCAACCACTCTGATTAATATGACTAGGCCTGACTTGTTAAAAATATATCTTAATTTTGTCTTCCGGTATGAGATTGAGACAATTTATTATCATTGGGTTTTGTAATTTGTACCTGTCAATTTCATTGTCAATGATACTTGCTGCATGTGTGATTCGCGTTCAGTTTACATTATGTACCTAATAAGCTAATTAATTAAACAATGCTGCTCATTTTTTATGCTACTTAGTTGTTTTTCATTCAGTGTCAGTGTGCGTTTGTCTTAATTGTTTTAATTAGCATAACGTAATCACTATATTAATTGAACTGTGTCACTTCTCCAATCGAAGTCTTTTTTATTTAAAAAGACATTACCCACCTAGATTACGTCTGACAGTGGAAAAACTAGACTCTGTATTGAGAAAACCGTTAGTGTCTCCGTACATGAATCGTCATATCCATATAAACCAAATCCTAGCAATATGATTATGAACTGTCGGTCCTAGATGGTTTACTGGACACTGGGGGCTTTGGTTTTATTTTAATTGTGTATAAGGTCTGTGTGAAATACATTGTATGCAGTGTCGTGCTTGGGGAATTAACTGGAATGAAATAACGTTATGTGTATTCTGTCATTGTGGGGGTTCAATTCTCGAAATGGCCGGTCTCCCTCCTGGTCACCATGTAGCTAAGGTGACTGAAAATGCTGCCGGGCGAGTAAAACCTTCCTAAACGCTCGTCACCACTCGCCTGAAAATAAACTGTTGGCAAACTAATTCTTTTCCAACTGCAAGATATCGCCTAATATTTCAGTGGAGTAAATACCAGACACAAAATTCGAAAATCCAAATAATCAACTTCTCTCGAATAAGTACTATGATACTTGTTGAATTCTTATGATAACACCACCCTTTACACCCCCCCCTTCCTGATACAAGAATGTAGTTTAATGTTCAAAGTAGTAGACAAATACTTTAATTAATTTTGAGCTAGTAGGTTTATTTTTGGGTGAGGGGATTGAAGTTTTCACCTCTCCAAATGTTTACATTTTGATGACCTGGATTTTCCTGAGTTTCAAGCACTGTGTGGATGACTGATGGAGCAGAAGTCACATTTTTAATCTGTGTAAAATCATCCGTGTAATTCAATTATAATCGTATTAAACTATTATACTTACAATCTTTAAAAATTGGAATCTTTACCAGCAGTTAATCCCCCAAGAAGTAACTTTGGATGTCTTGGGGGAGGGGGACTTGCTTAACACTTTCAAATTCATGTATAGTAAAAAGATTAAATTGAAAAGGTCAGTGTGCATTTGAATTCTGCTGGTCCAAAAGATTGATTTAATCGGTGCTGCTATCATTTATAGCTGTTTCTCTCAACTCGACTGTTATATTTGATTGTAGGCTGGCTTTGTGATAAACACTTGTGGCATGAACTACTAAGGACGTATGCTAATTAGTGATAGACCAGTATTGAAATAGAGTCATACAAATATCATATAAATTGTTTTGTAAAAATTCTAGTAACGTCTAGAATTCTTGAAACTCATGAACAGCTAGCAAGTATTTTATGTTCACTTTTGATGGAGCTTGGCTTTAGGGCAAATGCCATTCTAAATTTACGTGTCTAGATTTTAAACTTGAACTATGGTGGTGTGTTTTACTTTTGTTATAAGTCTTTATAATTGTGTTCTGCTGTAAATTTCAGCAACAGCTACAATTTTATTTGGCTACAATTAGAGTGAAATACTTATAATTCAGCCATACACACTAGTGATATTGCAAGTGGCTCATTATATTAGCATTTTCATTTTTAGCTCAGCTGACGAAGTCAGATGCAGCTTGTAGAATCGCATGATTGTCCGTTCGTCCGTGCGTCCGTTAACAGTTGGGCACAAATCTTAACTGCCCGACGTACGGTCTTGATATTCGGGACGTCGGGGGGGGGGGATCGCGAAAAGGACTCGGGATGTCGAATTTAGGGGTCAAGGCCTCAAGGGTCAAAGGTCAAGATGTGTCAATGGAGGGGGAATATTTCCCCCTTAACTTAAGGTATAGGAGGAAATCAGGGGTCGAAATTAGATTTTTATTATGGTATCCATTCGGGATACCAGGTATTGAAATCTGGTATTCCCCCCCAAAAGATCTGGTATCCCATTTTTTGGATAGTAATTTCAACAATTGTTTGCCTTCAATTCTCATCACTCGCGTTCATTTTACATACGCCTCCACAGTACACTGCAGACGTAATAATTGTCTAGACGCATTAGCTGCGTTCACACGATATACACGGCCTCGCTGGTTCCGTACTTATCTGGTGCTGAATCCTGATTTTGACGATTTTTTTTTTACTATCTTGGCAGGATACCAAGCATTGAAATCTGGTATCCAACACAAGAATACTATTCCGCGAATATCGGGCTACCGCTAATTTCGACGCCTGGAAATACGGAATTGCGGCACAAATCTCAACGGCTCGACCTACGCTCTTAATATTCGGTGTATAGTGTGATGGGGAGGTCACAGGTCAAAGGGCAGTGGGGGAAAGGTCAGATATCAGACATTTTCTGAGGACATGGTCTCACGGACCGAGTGCAAAACTTTTTTGTTTCAGCACTGACCTACCGTTTTTATCACTTTATTGAAAGGACCATGAAATCTACTTTCCGCTGACATGCGAAGAGTAAGTGTCTGATAACCTTTTGACACTCAAGAGGAGGGTTAAACATGGATTTGTTGACTGTTAACAAAGGACTGAACTGCTTTTGCTATTAGAGCTCCCTCCACCCTCCCCCCACCACCACCACTACGCTCGCGCTCGACGCATATCCATGATAACGTTAATATAGCGAAGTCATTTAAAGTTACACAGATATCTTTATTACTGTACTACCGGTATAGCAAAGCCTATCAACGCGGTGGCGGGAGGGCGCACTTGATTCGGTTGCCAGTGAGTTTATCAGAAGAATACCCGGCTACAGTAGGGTCCCTGTATACAGAGAGTTGCGCCAACTCAGGATTTGACGCCATGTTGTTTCCAAATGGATCCACACCGCTGCCGCTTAAGTACAGCGCTGTATGGATACGCTGTACAATATTCCGTAGTAATTAATTAGACTAATCGTGCTTCAATAAACTCAAAATTTACAAAGATTATAGCTAAGACATGTGTCTATGTGTATCTAGATTTCTAGAAATGTAACTCAAATTGTTCGCACCATATGATAATTTAATTGTACACTTTCTTACGGCCATAGCCGTGCATATCTATTTGGAAACAACATGTCATCCAGCGACCACGTGACCGATAGTTTTCCGACTCGTCATGGCGCAACTCTCTGTATATATAGGAACCCTAGGCTACAGTACACATCAGTTGAGCGCTGTCGCTCTGCGGCACTTGTTCTGAACAAGGTTTCTTCTGAAGGAAAATTAGACGAAGGAGTTAATGTCCAGTTTGGGGAAAAAACGTGCATGATGGGTTCAAAAGCGTGCGATAGGCACGCATGCGGACGCTGCAGGCGGATGCAGGGGAGAGGAACCCCCTCTCACGGGGGGGGGGGTCTGTAGGGTCTTCCCTAGCAAAAATTTAAAAATTTGAATGTCTCGGACTGCATTTGAGGCACCTTGAAAATGGCGACATTAAATTTGACAACGGCGGTGCGCCACTGTGCCTCGTATGTATACATGGTTCGCACAGTCCTTGAAAAGTCCTTGAATTTGAGGGGAGTCCTTGAAAAGTCCTTGAATTTGAGGGGAGTCCTTGAACAGTACTTGAATTTAGTAAATGTTGATTTTGTGCTTGAAAAGTGCTTGAATTTCATGAAAATGTCCTTGAATTTCATGAAAATGTCCTTCAATTTTTAGAAAGAATCCTTGCCTGTAATAAAAAGAAATTTTCTACCATCAATAATGTGCAAACCTCAATAAAAATTGCGTTAAATGAGCTTAAAAAGCTATAGACACGATAGACAGTTAAATGATGATCATAAATTACAGTAAGTCAGTAAAATCGGTCAGTAAAATCAGTCAGTAAATCAAGGTAAGTTGTAGAAGTGACAGTGTTTAGAAGGGTTTATTAATGTGATCCAGGTAAGTTTTAGAGGTGACATGCAGTGATTAAGAATGGGGTTATTAAATTAATCCAGGTATGTTTTGTTCTATGTATGAATTCCGATAAAATTTCTGATAAAATGTCCTTGAAAAGTTCTTGGGAAAAATTTTAGTCCTGTACGAATTATGTTACATATCAATTGGTGACACTATCGAGTGCAGTTGTGATGATAATGTGGTAAAGAAAGCCAAGTAGTTGAATGGTTAACATTGCATAAGTGGCAGGGTTCTCCAAGGGCACTTATAGCCTGGCCGCCCGCCAGGCTATGGTCGAGCCCCGCCACCTTCAAATGCACCCGCCACGCTAAATACCATAGCCGCCATGCTGGTGTATACACGTTGTTCTCGATGCTACAGTCACCTAACTCACCTTATCCCTATGCCATATTATCCCCTATACATATATCCCCTATACCAAAATTAATCTATGGTGTATAACCTTTTGCTTTAAATATTTTTCCATCGGAACTGACAATAAATCCCAACCAACTGGTGTAGGTTAGCTGGCACAATAATGTTCATTTTCATACTTCAAATCCGAGTGTTTTCTAGCTCATCAAGAAATCTTAATCGTGAATTAAATCGTGAATTAATTTCCAACGGCATTATTACGGGGCAGGTAACCCAGTCTAACACGAGGTAGAGTAGACTGGTACACTTACCGACCACTCCTGCCATTGTCAATGGTGACAAAAAATTTGTTATTTATTTATGAGAGGTGAACTCGATTTGGAACCAGCAAACCAGCAAATTCACCCCTACATTTAGGTATTTTTATTCCTTTAATTATTTTGAATTTTCCGATGGTTTTGCCCATGCAAAACAAACATTTTCACCCCACATGCAGTGCTTCAAATTTACACACAACAGAGTGTCCCAGATTGCATCTCATAGCTTCTTCAATTCAAAAATTTCCTGGGGGGGGGCATGCACCCGGACCCCCCTAGCACTGAGTACCACCCCATGCTATAATTTTAAAGCTTGGAGAACCCTGAGTGGTATGTCTTAGTTTTTGTGGCTTGTGAAATCATTATCTATCTGAATGCATGGTAAGTGTATGTAAATAGGTAGTAAGTGTTGGGCATGTGTAGACACGGGTCTGTTTGTTTGCATCATCATCCAGCTTTGCTGCTGTGGGAACACACCGGGCAGCATGAAATATTAGTGGCTACCCGGCTGTAGAAATTGATTTTTTATTTAAACTGTGAGATTTTTGAGTGAGCAATGCGTATTGATCCGCAAAACTGGTCATGCCCACTTATTTAAGTGGATGTTGGTGTGGAGGCACAATAGTTTGGCATATCAATATATATTGTTGAACATGCAGTGGTTGGTAGCACCACAATCTTAGTGACATGTCACATGTGGTAGAGTAGTTAATTAATAATTATTGGCAAAGATCTCTGCTTTTTTGAAAAGCACGTCGTGTATTTTAATGACGTGGAGTAGATGGTTGTACCAACAGTGTTTTCACTGTTTTGTACAGCATAGTTGTGCTACTGGGACCCTAATCCATGAACCGGCATGACTGCAGAGATGGGCGATTCCATACGTGTCGGACGGGACATTTTGATGTGTTCTTTAAGCATTTTTTACAGTTGTTCATGTCAGATTTTAGAAATATATCTAACAATATAAACATTATTATATCATGTATAATTTAAATTGCAACTTGAAAACAATCGTTCAATAATTGTTTGAACTGAGAGAACCACACAAAGTCATGTGTCGGACGGGGACACCAAGTGGACATACAGTTTTTACATCAGAAGATATGCTGAAACTTCTGTTCCATTACTAACAGGGTAAATCAGGCACCCATGCAGAACCACCACAGATACACAATCTTTCTTTCTGTCTTTTACTTTTCATCGCCTAATGGACAGTTTTTTCTTGTGAAGCACTTATTTCATGTGGTGGACGGGACAATGATAATGTGTCGGACGCGACGTATTTGTCTACACATTGTTTCATGCCTGTATTTGTACATTTACCAGGGCTGTGTCTATCTTTCATATAAACATTAACACTTATATAAACATTCTTGAAATTAACATTGAATTGTATTTGAAAACGTTTTAGGATTTTTATAGAAGTTCACAATCTCATAATTTACATAAAACATTTTTCTAAAAAAGTTCCATTTTACAAAGTACTAATATTAACTTGATTGACTGCAACCATATCAAGATTCACAGTTTCACAAAACAAAATAGTTAAATTAGGTTTAGGGTGTTGAGAAAATAATAGCATATCATTTTTAGGTGAAATGATAATTTTATTTTCCTATGTTCATGGAATCGCCCAGATGCTCCATGAGACCAGACATGACATCGTCAGACCCACCCTGCCTAAACAGCTTTGTTGCATTAGAGTGGGCAAGGCAGGGACACGGATGCCCTGTAAAGTTGTGTGTGCGTGCGTGAGTGCGTGTGTGTGTGCACGGATGTGTGTGTTTGTATAGTGGCCAGTGTAAACATATATCCTAGCTGTATCCTATATATGATATGTAGCCTATCTGCTATCTTAGCATTGATACTCATCTCACACAGATTGACTTGGCATATTAATCATGCTAGCTTATATATCCTTTTAAGCTCTAGGGACAGCCTACAGCATCGCAGGGCATGTTAAACACTGCAGCTTGCACATTACATGTTTTGGGACAGGCTACATAGTCAGACATATTAACCATGTGCTCGTGTATTACACATTGACTATGCAATTGCAAGCTTGTACATTACTGGTCTGAGAGTGCCCTACTGCATAGGTTGGCATATTAAACATAGAAGCCCGTCTGTTACACAATGACCATGCAAGACTGTATCTTACAGCTCTAGGGGCAGCCTATGGTACAGCGAAGTCTGGCACTGGCATCGCGGCGATGTCGGTGATGCGACCTGAGTTGGTGATGAAGTCGATCATCCCTGTAGTCATGGCGGGTATCATTGCCATCTATGGCCTCGTCGTCGGAGCCTTGATAGCTAACGGCATCAAGGCTGGAGGGGAAGGCGGCTACACACTATTCAAGTGAGTGTTCTCACACCGTTCGAGCGAGTGAAGACTCTGTATTCTGTACGAGTGCTGTGTGTGTGTGTGCGTGCGTGCGTGCGTGCGTGCGTGCGTGCGTGCGTGCGTGCGTGCGCGTATGTGTGTGCATGCGCCTGCGTATCCATGTATGTGCGTGAGTGTGTGTGCGTTCTCGTGCGTATGTGTGTGTCTGTGTGTGTGTGCATGCGCCTGCGTATCCATGACGTATGTGCGTGAGTGTGTATGGAGAGGATATAAAACCTGTTATTGTCAAGGCACTGGTGAGTAATGCAGAGTGTAATGCTAGCGAGAGGATAGTCACAGCATAACTACTGCTTTGCTCCATGTGTACGTGATTGAATTAAGGTTACTGACTAAGTGTTTCTTGCATCAGTGCGTGTTGGTGTGAGGGCTACTGACGTCAGTGTTTCATATGCGTGTGTGTGTGTGTGTGTCTGTGTGTGCGTGCGTGCGTGCGTGCCCCGTGTTCACGTGCGAGACCGAGTGGCTGGCTGGTGGTTACAGACTGTGTTTCTTTCTTGCATGTGTGTACACTTGGCTATGAGGGCTACACTCATTGTTTCTCATGTGTATATATGTGCACTCGTACGTGTACATGCCTAGGTGGCTGAGTGAGTGATGGTTACAGATGTTATTTCTTGTGTGCGTGCATGTAGCTGTTAGGGTGACTGTCACAGTGCCTCCTATGTGGGTATGCACGCAGGCATGTGTGCATGCGTGTGTGCGTCCGTGCGCGCTTGTGTGTGTGTATGACTAGGTGATCAGATGGTAAGTGACCTGTGTTTCTTGGATGATGTACCATGTGTAATTGCATGGCTGGATGGTGATTACAAATAGTGTTAACATGTTTATCAGGAGTAGATAATAGGGAAGGAGTGTGACTTCAATAAACAAGGGAAATTCGTCATTTACTAGCCATTCGCCTACAGTACATTCGCCTAGCATCGTGCGAAATCGTTTTCTCGTATACACCCGCAATCCGGAGATACAGACTAAAACGAACGACATGATTATCTATTCTGTTGCCAGCAAACCAATTGTAATGTCTGCCGAACTTGAAACAAAAGGCAGCTACTAACGCACTCTTGCTCACTCGACGAGGCGGTGTGGCTCGCTAGGAGATTGGACATCGACGCAACACTCAGCGAGATAACCTTTGACCCAGCATACAGCTACATACCGGCATACCGGCATACAGCTGGTATGCCTCCCACGCACGCACGCCCACCGCAATCAGCAGCAGCTCCAGCTCCAATCTCCCAGCGAGCCACACCGCCTCGCCGAGTGAGCAAGAGTGCGTTAGTAGCTGCCTTTTGTTTCAAGTTCGGCGGACATTGCATTTAGTTTGCTGGCAACAGAATAGATAATCGTGTCGTACGTTTTAGTCTGTATTATCGGATTGCGGGTGTATACGAGGAAACAATTTCATACGATGCTAGGCGAATGTACTGTGTACGATTTGAGTTCAAGTTGGTTGAGTTACACATAGTAAATCTTAAGTATTCTAAGGCTAGTAAATGACGAATTTCCCTTGTTTATAGTCACACTCCTTCCTTATTATCTACACCTGATGTTTATGCGTGTGTGACTGGGTTATGGTTACTGAGAGTGTGTGTGTGTGCGTTTGTGCGTGTGTCTGCACTATGTGCTGTGCATGTGGCTTTGAGCCTGTATAGGATATCATACTGCTAGTGTTAGTGCTTTCTTCGTTTGTTCCGTGTGTCTTCATGGTTATTTGAGGGCTACTGACAGTGTTTCTCCATGTTTGCAGGGGATTCGCAGACTTTGGTGCGGGACTTAGCGTAGGATTGAGCGGTTTGGCGGCTGGGTTTGCCATCGGCATCGTGGGAGATGCTGGCGTGAGGGGGACGGCACAGCAGCCTCGACTCTTCGTTGGCATGATCCTCATCCTAATCTTCGCCGAAGTACTCGGCTTGTACGGACTCATCGTCTCTCTTATCCTAATCACGAAATAGACAAGGTGCGACAGCCATTACTACAGGGACACTTTGCTTAAGCTTTTTCTTATGTTAACCAATTGTTGGCGGGAGGGGAGGGGGGCAGGTATTGTACCTGTGGGCTGGCTACAGGCAACATTGATATCACCTGATGGGAAGGTTAGCAACGTCGACTGTGACTACGAATCATGTTAAACATATTGTTCTTCAGCCTTCAGGCTGAAACGCAGGATCCTTCCAGTATCATCCTCATGATCAAACTAATAGTAAGAACGAAGTGGGTGCATCGTTTGCCGCGTGGGTTGACCGTAATTGTTTATAGTGTAAGCCCGTTGTTATATTTTGTTGAAACATCTGTTATAGGAGTCATGCATGTAAAGCTAATCAGTTATTAATTTTATTGAGATCCCTGTAGTACATGTGATGCAACTGTGGTGTGTTTGGGAAGACAATTAGGGTTAATGAATAACAAGTACGATAACATGAAATTCGGACGAGTAAAGTAGTGTACATGTGTTACTGTGCGATGAGGCATGAGGTCAGTCATTATTTTGCTATCTATTGTTTGTCATGAGTGTTGCTATCTTGGTTATGCAACATCTCTCGACTTTCGAGTAGTAAGTGAGATATGTCGTAGCAGAGGTAATAATTATTTCTCTCTATCACAATGGATGTATAAATTTTCGGTTTCAGTTTGTCAAAGGTAGTGTCGGTAACATTGTGGCAGTGTCACGCAAGGCGTATATGTTATATGTGTGTATGTGTGTATACGTGAATTCAGCGATACCAGTGGTTGGAACAATGGTTGAACATTCACGCTCATTCCACTAAAGACTAAGTAATACAGCGCCACACTGACAACCATTTGTTGAGGGTACTAGTACTTCTAGGAATGCCCCTAAAGCAGCTATCAGTCAGGCTAATAAATCATCATCATTAGTTTGTGTCTGCAAAAATTGGAAACTATAGAGGCTTGGTCATTCTCTTGAAATTTATCTATTGTGTAGAATCTGTATGTAATATAATAATAAAAATGTGGATTTAACTATTAGATCATGTTGTTGAAATATTCGCATGGACTGTGCACATGTAATTTGTGAGTATGACATATGTACATGTATAATATATCGATATATATATCTATAACACTTTGAAGGTTGGCTGGGGTAACATTACTCATTACCAATGCACTACCCTTACCCAAGTTTGTGAGGGAAAATCGTTAGTCTTGTCAGTGAATATGAAGCCTGTCTGGTTGGTAGAGTGGAATATTAACATAATTCGGGTACAAAGCATTTTCGTGAGTCGGGGCTGGTACAATTTAAGGTGGAGATTTGTACATACTATCGCCACTGCGAGGTTGAGAGTTTTTCTCCCGGCTGACAACCTCGTCCATTACTGGAAATGCTTTGTGCCAACGCTGTGGCCTCTAGGTAACTTTCTGTGCTTCAATACTCGTGTTTCAAACATTCCGTCGATGTAGAAAATTACCAGTGCAGCCATCGTGGTGCAATAATGAGATGGCGCCACTGGTTCGTAGAGAGCGAGTGCTCACTTCCAACCTGGTCACACCGTTGTGCAGCTTTCTAATTGGTAAGTGCACGTGTGTGACCAGGAGGTATCTGCGGCTCCTTCACTGCGAGTCACTCAGGTGGCGTGATCGATGCTTGCGCTGCTGCTTATCCCACCGTGTCCTGGTGTTGCTCGGACGTGCACGTGAGATTTCGGTGTGTGCCATCTTGTTTTCTTGTCTGTAATCGTTGCTTGAAGGCAGTTGTTGAGTGTGAGCATCTAGTTAAGTCCCAACCACAGAAATAATATAGATAATATGTATCTATATTATTTCTATGGTCTCAACACACCATCGCCTGCCAGCGCGTTTCCCAGCCGTGGCCTTGATGTTACTGTAACAACCGCCGGCGTCATGCATAGCTCGTGCCAGCTGCGTGTGTGGCAACGCTGGCAGCAGCTAGTGGCGCCGAGCGGGAAACGCGGAGATGATAAACTAGCTTCACGTGATGCCCAGAGACTAGTTTTAACTTGACAGCAAAACACGAGGAGACCTGAGATGGTGTTTTTCATTTGTGGCGTCAATCCGTGTCGATTGCAACAACGGCCGATTTAAATGGGTTACGCTGGCGGTGATGTCACCATCAATTTGCAGTACTGCAGGCGCATTATTACACTGGTGGCGACGTCACCACCAGGTTGCAGCATTGCATCCGTATTGTTACACCTAAATACTGCAGTATCGAGTTATTTGACCAATCGAATACAATGTGACTGCATGCATGGCTGTGTTGCATGTAACACCGTTATCTGGCCTCTGGCCCTAATACAGCTCAGCAATCAAACATGGTCATGCACAAATTGTTAATAGTGGAACCCTTGTATTGTATCATGGGACAATTTCGCAATAAAGGCCTCGTTTTGTCTGTTAATGAAATCTTTTATATTCTAGCAACTGTCCTTAGATGTGTTTGTGCAGATCACGATGCCATTTGCATGCGAAAGTGAAACGTTGAATGTCATTAAATAGCGAAGAATCAATTCTTTACGAGTGTTTATTTTAGAATGAGTGACATGATACAAATTGTAGCATGTACAAATTATAGCATTATATTCCTCTTCATTCAATAGCCAATAGAATTGAGCTAAAAACCACTTTGATATCAACTATTCAAACAGGGACTATACAAATAGTTTACCTACCAGTAACACGTCTTGAAATGTTGACATTTATTACTACTTTGATTTAACGAAAGATACGTTCATAGCTGTACAAAACACCTTTTCAGAGAAAATCACAAGTGGGGTGGGGGTCGCTGACTCTGTCATTGCTTCCACTTTCTTCCCGACTGACATTTAATGTCACAGTTTTTTCTAGCCAGGTACAGCGGAATTTGCTTTTTGCACTCTTGTCGATTTCCAATATTGCTGCTTTGTCTCCCTTCTGAACCCGCTATAAACTAACGTCTAAATAAGCTCACTGCTGATTGCCTATAGGTTTACTTGTATTACTTGTATTGGCTAATGTCAACGTGCTAAGAACGGCAGAACTGCTAGTGATCAATTTCGTATTACGTACAGCTCAGTGGTTTCGTACCACAATGAGTGTTATGGTCACACGCAACGGGTTTTGTCGGATCACGCGAATATATAGGATTACGACAGAACATGTATAAACACAAATGAATACAGTGCTTTGGACAGAAGATTCTTATTGAATATACCGAAGAGAGTTAAAATACACTTTACATTCTTAACCTTACCCCCCTCCCCAAAACTTTTCTCATCGAATTTAGATGCTTCACAAAATCGACCACAGGGCTGTCAAATCCGAGAAAAATCCTCATCCCTGTATAACCAAGGAGGCAGTGACACAGCAGTGATAATGTGACGGTCACATACTTGCATCGTTTGCATCTATTTATCACTACTACTGGGCCAGTTACGCCTCAACGCTCGGTCCACATCCCTCACGAAGCACTAGCAACTAGAACACGAAGCAACTAGTGCCTGTAACTCGCGACGTCACTACGGCAACCACGACAGCTTGTGATTGGTTGGATCTCAGTGCTTTTCGAGGGCGAGTGTCAGTACATCGTTGAGTCTGTTGATCATCACTCTGGGATCTTCTATGAGTCCAGCAGCAATCATAGCATTATCGAATATCTACGGGCACAAAACCAACCCACATTTACTGGACAATAAACAGTTTATTAAAATTATTTCCATCATGTTATTTACCTTCACTGAAGCTTAGTTTTGGACGTGAATAATGACAGTGTAATACATTATTGCGAAATCGAAATGATTACATGGCACTAGTGTGACGTGTACGTGGTCAATATGAGTACAACTGGAATTTTTGTGAAATGATTGTGTTAATTGCTTAGGACTTACTTGTTCAGCAACCATCCTTCCTAATTTCTCATTGGTTGTCATCAGAGTGCTTAGCTTCTTAATCAGTGAATGGCTATAATAAAAGTATAAAGAACTTGTCAACAAACTGTTGTTAATCACGGTTGTGCACACATTACAGCACACCCTCACGCATATACATGCACCTATGCACATGCTCATAAACATCACAAGAGACCCTCTCGCATCTTACAGACATCCAAAAGCTGTTAGTAATGCCATTATTTAACAGCTATGTACTAAGAACTCATTCACAGAGCTGAGGAACAGTTGTCATACCTGTCAATGCATGTCATTCCAGATGTAACGCCGAGCAATAACTAGTGACGCATTAACAAATGAATGTACAAGCAGGAAGTGTATGCCAATTATCTAATTCAGACCTACCAACCTGTGATTCATGAAAATAGTAAGGCTTTTCTTTTCTTGCAGCAGGCGGCCATTTTGTTTGTATGTTATGCGCGCAATGAATGATGGGACTAACTCTAGATCACGCGAGAACAACGTGAACGCGTGATCCAATATGGCTGCGCCCACAATCGCCAGATATTTCTCAGCTCACAATGTAAAAAACATTAATTTTCACAAGTCGTATTAAGTTTTTCAGTTTGATCGTACATTCGTAGAAACATCATGGAATTCGTAAGGAATACGAAAAAATCGTAAGGGTTGGCAGGTCTGCTAATTATATTGCAATCATAACTGCTGACTGACCTCTTTCAAATGTAAATGAATTACATATGATATATAATTAACCCACACACTGTTAGCACAGCCGCAGTAAATCGTAACTAACAAAGACTTGTCTTTTTTGCTGATTGCTGACAGCTACTTACTGACGGCTATGGCTGTGTGAGATGTTACCTTGGATTGATCTCCAGCGTTGGCTGCAGGATGCTGTAACGCTGGTCCTCTGGAATTCCCTGGAATGCCGTTCGCACAAAGTGTCGTGCCGCTCCCATCTCAGCTACAGTCACCACGCACGGGTGATTTGACAAACGCCTTGTCACCTAGAACCCAGAAAACAAACATGTCAGGCAAGAATATAGAAAAAGCACTTGCTCATGAGACAGTTGCACATGAGAGCTGGAATTGTGCTGAGGTACTACCGACTATTCAAACCAAAGCAGTGTACAAGGAAACGTTTTACTCAAACAAGGTCCAGAATATGTGTTTAAATCTTACATACCTTCACGTTAGTAGCCTTCGTTCCTAGCATCTGCTTCATCCAAGTGCATAATGATTTCACGTCTGTATCCGACAGACTGTTGTCATCTACAAACAACAGAACAACACAGCGTCACTGAGAGCTGTTGTATCCTCTTTTGTCTCGTATCCTGGGACAAACTGTCAAAGTGACACCAGCGCCATCTCACCTTCACTATCTAACATTAGCACCTCCTCACCTTGCGTGGTGGTGTCTCCCTCTTTTTCCTTGTCCTGTACCATCTCCTTCTCAACAGATGTTAGGTTCTTACGGTCGAATTGTCGCAGCTGCATTAGCACCAGCTCATCGTACGGCTCGTAGCAGAACAACACCTCAAAGTCCTTCTCCTTCACAGCGTCGAAGTATGGAGAAGTCTCCGCCAGCTCACGGCTACAACACACAGCGTGGTTTTCAGAACATCCGACTGACAAATTTGGGTTTCCTGTAAGCTAACAGCTGTGAGCATTGCCATAGTAAAAATATAACGATTGGATTAGCTTCATACGGCATAAAGATAAGTGTGCAGATAGTAAGATTAGTTGCATTTTTCGAAGAGTTATAAGCTTTTTTATATAAGAAAAAGCACACCTTGGGGCTGCCAAGTAGAATATGTCCCGTTGGCCAGCTTCCATTCGACCTGCGTAGTCTTCCAAGCATACCTTTTCTCCGGCTGCCATCTTAGATGACTCGAACCTCAGCAGCTTCGCAATTTCTTCCTAAACCACGCAATTATAAAATTTAGAGTTAAAGTAATAACCTTATCAACTTTATAACTAATGTAAACTTTTAAGTTTAAAAGTTTTAAGTGTAACAATGGTACATTTAAGGTACTTTCTGTACTTTTAACACTGCATTCCAACTAGACTATGAAAACAATCATTAGTATATTATAAAGAAACAGAGCACAGGAGCCTGCAAAAAGTATGTTTTAAAATGCCATGCCGTACACAGGAGGTTGGTGAGTGCAGGCGAACTCATATAACACATCTATATACCTTTTCTCCTTGGTCAGCTGTCATGAGAATTCCCTCACGGAAGAAGAGACCAAAGTCTTTATACAACAAGTCGTACTTCTCTGGATCTTTCTTCGCCTGCTCTTGGAAGAATCGCATTAGTCTGTTCGTGAGCACCAGCCTCAGTTTGCTGCGAGAGAAACGAGACATGAGAAACATGTAGCCACCTTTGCAGGTTATCGTGATATACGCTCCCGCAACGCCAGCTGCTGGTATCGTTCCTCAACATACCTGATCAGAGCACTGTTCTGTAGAAGCTCCCTACTCAGATTCAAAGGAATATCCTCACTGTCAACAACACCTGAAAAGAAGAAGCTTAAACATAGAGATCTAACGAAACCTCATTAGGAAGTGCTTCCACCTCGTAAGAACAGGAAGATGAAGCAGCAACAGTGGTGTTCCATGGGTATGTATAAAATTTATACTATTTGCTAATAAAAGATTTAAACCATTGAGGAGTGCATAAGAGTGATGTCCATCTATTTTATATCCATAATACCATCCTGCTTTTTATATATATACATGCATACAAAATATTATCCCTCTCATGACAATTGCTAATACTTATATCATTTCTATTAATCCAGTACCGTTTCTCTCCCCCTCTCTACCAAATCACAAACTCATGTTTCCTGCTCCTGCAATAACAGTATGTCTCTTCCTCAGAACTCACCTTTTACAAACCGCATCCACTTGGGCAGGATCTGCTCAGAACTGTCCTGGATGAGCACCTTGCGACTGTAGAGGGCGACGCCGGCGTTTCCTTCTCGCCCCATGTCGAGCATCGTCGGTTTCGTGTCGGGGATGTAGAACACGCTGCGTATGTTCAGCGGTGCGTCTGCCTTGTACTGCAGCCAGTAGCGCGGCCGGTCGTAGGCGCCCGTCAGGAAGCGGTAAAACTCCTCGTGCATCGTGTCCGACACATCCTTGGGCTCCATCATCCACAGTGCCTGCAACACACATACACACGCAGCACTCAGCACAGCTTCCCACGAGATGCGAGATACAGTAGATGAGTAAGAATTAACCTTGTTGAGCATGAGGGTGTTATGTATGGTGTGTGTGTCTGGTGGTGGGGGGGAGGGGAATTCACATTCTAAGGCAAGTATAGCAAGGATGGGCATGATACACTTGAGAATGCAGGTAGTAGTAGTTGTAAGACATTTTGGGCAAGAATGGTTTACTTGCCTACAACATGAAGTGTCAAACAAACATCACAGTTTTATAACTATCCCATAGATATACAGTAAAACTCCCATAAGTCGTCATCGTCTAACTCGTCAATTCGCATAAGTCGTCATGGAAGTCAAAGTCCCGATTTTCTCTCATAGTAAATCCATTGGAATGGCCCCGCCTAAGTCGTCATTTATAAGTCATCATTATGTACAAGTCAACGCCCTCAGACAAGTCCCATGTAATACAAACAACAGTAATTTCCCATCTGTAAGTCGTCATCAGAAATGCCGATGGCGCGCGCACAGTGTACGGTCTAGGGGATGTTCGAGCTGGCTGTCGCAGCTCGCACATCCCCAGTGTATGCACCCCAATGCAGGGTCCGGAGTCAAATGCTCCCTGATTTACTGCCGGACTCTCTGATTTGACATAATAATGCAGGAGTCCGTGTGACTGCCTGAAAATTCTGCTATACTAACTAGTTCATTCCAGAGCACGGCCTTGCGGAATTGCCGTAATTTTTCAGAAAGTGTTCCAAGAAATTTTGGCAGACGTGCACCGCAAATTTCCTGCAATGTCCAATCGTGTAATCAACAGCGGGTGTTACAGAGAGCCAGCGTGTGCCGCGCTTGCCGCTAGTGCGTACACTGTACGTGCGTACACTGTACGTGCGTTATAGCCAGCAGTGGTGTCGATTGATGTACGGACCCGATTGTTTCATTTCTGCTATGTATGTGGCGCGAACTGACGTCGTGTGTGGAGTATGTTTATGTCTGCGTAGGGGTGACGGGCGCCTGGGAGGGGAGCCCTACGTATAAGTCAACAAAATGACGACTTACGTGTATGTCGTCATTTTCGTAAGTCGGTACAAATATGCTGGTCCAAAAAGTGTCGACTTATGTGAGTTTTACTGTATAACACAATCCATTAATATTACGGCATGCACAAAATCAAGTAGTACGGAGTTAGCATATTTATAGGAACAATTATTTCAATCTTGGGATACACTTATATTTATAGAATATTATTATATATTTATACAATGAGATAAAATGCTTCTCACCTCTGTTCTGTTGATCCTTTTTCCATTGAAGAAAATTGGAGCACTTACATAGTTGCTGTACTTCTTTATCACCTCTGAATTAATCGAAATGAGAAATCTTAAGTTTTAACCTACATTTGATTCACAGCAATGTGATCTCATGAATGAAACTTCACGTAACAAAAATCTAAACATGCTTAATTATTTTTGCAATATTTAGCACAAAGACATTTCATAAACAGCATCATAGGATCAATAATCAACCAGTAGCCAGAACCAACACAAGTATATTTTACCACATACGAGTGATAAAGCCTCTACAGGACCTACCATTGACTTTATCCACATCAGCAAATTCGATTGCATCTGGTTTCAGATGGACGACAATCTTGGTGCCTCGCTTCACACCCTCCGCTTCTGCCACCTCGTAGGTTCCACACCTGCATGTAAGCAGAGTCACTCGGTTTTGTACATTTTATCATCTCATAGGACTCCAACATTAATGGAGTAGGAGACCAGTCGCAGCATAGGGTTGAATACATGCACAGCATTCACCTGGACTTTCAAAGCAGCGACCCTGCCCAGCTACCAAGCAGCAAAAACAATGTATGAAGGACTACAACAACATTACATCTTTGCTGTACTGTACAGATCACTCAACTTACCTGCACCATATACACACCGGTACTTGCCAGTAAGGATTAAAGGCACAATACACAGTGATGACTTGCTATAAATATATCACATCATCCTCAGAGAATAACATTTACCATGACTGGTAACTAAAGATTGGTTATAATAACAGAGAATAACACATATATGAATACCCGTCAGACACCCAGTGCAGTCCCTTAGAGCCAGGCTTGTGTGACAATGAGAAGACTTCAACCTTTTCTGCCACCATGAAAGCTGCATAGAATCCAACTCCAAATTGTCCAATGATGCTGGATGCAACTCCATCACCTTTCTCCTTCAGCTCTTGCATAAAGCCCTGAGAATATTGCATCCAGTAGTTACGGATGTTTACTTCCGATATCTAGTCAGCTTCATATCACGGTCATCATATATTAAGTATACAGGAACTGTGCATTTTCAATGGGATTTATGAACCTTAAGTTTTCTGTTTGGGTACCTTTCATATGGGTACCACCAAGATAGCAAAAACGAGGTATGCTAAAAACAACCTAGTGATGGACTCTGAAGGCCAAGATAAAAGAGCCGAAACTTTATTGGGGTGAACCACATGCTGTTGTGAGGGATAGACCTGGATGATGGTAGATGGTAACTAGTTGTAGTTTGATGGATATGGCTATCCTAACGAATCTCTTTTAATAGCAACCTTTTTTAATATCCTCATAGGAAAAACACTTACTCTAAAATCACAATAAACCTATAAAAATAGGTATCTAGTGGGAACTAGTAGACATAATATATATCAAAAGCACCAACTCTTGACTTATTACAAATAAATTCTGATAAGAAACTAGATGTGGAATGATGATGGACAATTGAATTGCTTCACTAAACTATAATTGTTTATTAATGAGGTATGCCAACCTTAGATCCAGATCTGGCAATAGTTCCCAAGTTATCAACCATTTCTTCTTCGGTCATTCCAATCCCTGTATCCTTAATAAAAGAAGACAGAAATGAGCAACTTGATAACAGTCAAATGGTTAAAACCATAAAACATAAACGTGGTACACTACTGGTACAAGTTAGGAGAATGTAAAGAAGCATCCAAACCTGGATTGTTAATGTCCTGTGATCTTTATCAGCGCCTATGTGAATCTCTAGTGGAGCTCCAAGGTCTGATCCGATTACTCCTGTCACATGGTGATATCTCAATCTCTCCATCGCATCATTTGCATTTGAAATAAGCTCACGAATAAACACTTCCCTTTCTGAGTATAGTGACTTTGCAACAATGTCCAATAGCATGCGTGTTTCTGCCTGGAATTCATGCTTGGCAGCGGGTCCTGCCATGAAAATATAAAACAAAAATGATCATTTATTTAAAATAAGGTTACATATGTAAGATAGTTAACATTGTAATCATGTATTACAGGGTTCTCAATAGGAATTTATGAAGTCATGTCCAGTAATTCATCTCACATTGCTGACTAGATTAAATTACACTGGTGTAACTGGCCCTGTACACAGATAAACTTGATCAGTTAGGAGACATATACACATAATTAAGGCATGTTGATGAGGCAATTAAGGCACGTTGGAGCATTTATGAGATGTTACAAATTAGCCGAGATCAGACCCGACATGCAATAATGGTCTTGGCCTGGGAGAAGGCCCAAGGATATAAGAGCTGTCCACATTTGCACATGTCGCACATTGCGAAAATGAATTGTGGATAGCGCTTATATCCATGAACCGGGAGAACCCTAGCCTAGCCTGTAGTATTGTCAATGTTGTGGCGTTATTTGATGTTTTTCTTGACACTTTCTTAAACTAGTGTAAAATGTTACCTGTTGCTTTCTCATCATCTTGAATAATGCTGTGGTAATCTTCTGACTTAGCACTTGCTGTACAGAAACTTTGGCAGTTTCCCAAAACTCGGCTGGATGCCCTCGTAATAGAACTTTGTGTGAATAAATCTATAAAAAAGAAAGATAGTCACAGCTTAGATTGCTGCCCCTGCTATGGACGACGTTAAATAACTTCTTCCGTCTTTCAAGGACAAACATCGACAGTGGTTCAATTGTGAAAATAAACTTGAACTTGATGAAGTCCAAGTTGGGCAGTGATGAAACTAAACTGTAAACACGCAAATAGGAATTTCATAATGATAACTGTTAAACCTATAGGAATTTGACTATAAATAACTTACTCCTTGCTTGAAACGTTGGGGACTTGTAATATTTAACTAATGTACAGGAATTATTCCATGAATATTGACGAAAACGGTTCAGATTGGCGAACAATCGCATGTTCCGAATGGAGGCTGCCATGTTGAAAACAACACCATTATAGGTGGCGTTGAGAATTTAGCGAAAAGGATCTATGAATCTTGGGAGTATTAGTAAATACCACCTAGCAACATTTTGTGTTGTCAAAATTTTCGTCAAGTAGTAGTGATCAGGGTATGTATTTATTTTGTGTAATCATCAGCTCTAATGTTAGGATTGTTTTGTTGTCTCTCGTAGAAGTAAACGTGCCAATCGCATCAACATGTGGAAAAAAGGCAGTCAAGGTTATCATGATCTTGGCTGGCCGGGGCCGACTAGTACACAGGCAATTGTGACTTGGAGAGCTGCGACTAGGCACAGCTACTGAGCTAGCGCGTCTCCCATGGTACCGAATTCTCTCCCTAGAGGGCCTTATTATTGACCTTACTTTTAATATAGGCGAATAGGGTTAGGCATTAGGGTTAGGATTCATCGGGGCACGGGGGGAGGGTTACAGAGTAGGATTTGGGTTAGGGGTTAGGGTTTAATATGAATTTATACTTAATATGTTAATAATATCGCAGCACATCGAGCGGCCATCACTATCTCTCCCGCATGAAACCATACTATTACGGGCTTCGGGAAGACGCGCGGTCCACTAGTCAGGCATCCGAACTTGTGAGCGTACTCAATAAACAAAATAGGCCTAGTGGTGGCTACGCGACCGGCACCATTCCGGACCGAGGAGCCGCCTGAGGCTAAACGCGTCCGGGACATTCCATCTCACAACAGCGAGCGATTCGCGACAGCGTACAACGCATTGATTGCGCAACATCAGGGACGCTCCTGCTCGATGCCGTGCTGTGCTAGTGTGTGTGCGGTGTCGATCGCGTGCGTATGCCGTGCTGCCGTGGAACGAGAGAGAGAGCCCGTCCAAAAAAGAAAAAATAAAAGCACGAATGGGAAATGTGTAGTGTGTGTGTATGCGTGAGAGAGAGGAGAGAGCTGGGTTCCAAGGACTAGAGAACATGGTCCCAATAAGAACCATGTCATTTAAAATCATCAATATAAATATACAGAATTACTAATGCAATATAATAGGTTAGGGTTACTGTTAGCAGGTTAGGTTCTTAAGGAAGGGTTTAGGGGTTAGGAATTCAGAATTAGGGTTAGGTGTTAACGCCACATTGGTTTATTGGGACCCATGTTCTCTATCCTTCGGGCCCCCGAGAGCTGCGCCCGCGTGGTAATCGTGTGTGTGTGCAGAGAGAGAGAGAGACGAGAGCGAGAGAGAGACGAGAAGAAGAGCAGAGAGAGAGAAGAGAGAGAGAGAGAGAGAGAGAGAGAGAGAGAGAGAGAGAGAGAGAGAAGAGAGAGAGAGAGAGAAGAGAGAGAGAGAGAGAGAATGAAGGAGCGAGAGCGAGACAGCCACGCCCCGCCCCGACGGGCAGCAGAGGCGTCCTGCTTAGCGCCAATCATGCGTCGTATGCGAGCCGCGGCCGATCACTGGTCGAGGGATGTCTGGACAGTCGCGTAGCCTGGAGGCTAGGCACGACCATGTTCCGGACAAGGCGGGCTAGGCCACCTTTGAAAAAAAATAGAAGGCAGTGGCTTATTCTTACGACGCAGTCATCAGTCCCTCGCCAAAAGCAGTCGACCGCGGACATATGATATCTCGGCTGCATTTTCGCACACGGCTCCGACAAGAAAATTTGGCTTTACCGAGACCGTGTGTCCGGTAAACATTACATCAAACTATTAAACGCAGAGGCTACAGCTGAGGCGAGTCACAGGCACGTAACCACACACAAGTACAAACAGTCACCGCTACCATCCCATAACACCTGACTCTAAATCGAACATCCGGCTATCTTATAACCGCAGTTTCATAGTACCGCCATCTCATGGTGTGAGGAAAGCGACTAGAAGAGATTGGTGGTATATGATAAAAGATAACGAAATGAATACATGTGCCGACGTGTGTGTGAATGCTATCATGGGAATATTGTAGTTCACACGCTTTAAAGCATTAAGAAGGACATGAAATTATTTCAATTAAAGGATGCAATAAACTTTAAGAGAGAGAGAGCCATGACGTAAGAGAGTAAATATCATGTGAAAAGCTATGGAATTAAGGAAGCAGCCTACAAGGAGCCAAATGATATTGGCTATGTCAAGTGGCCTAGGCGCCGATGCTCTCCAAGCAATCAGGCAGCTCAGACCCGGGAAGACAACTAGGTAATGTATTTAGAATGCTCATCGCCACTGCTAAACGGAGCAGACCGTTGACTGATTATACCTGGATCACACAACTGGACAAGGCCAAAGGCCTAGAAATAGGCGAAACCTACATTAATGATAAAGCTGGCCTTAAGTTTATCGAATGCATTGCTGATTGCACGCGTCACGAAATGGATGAAAAAATAAACGATGCTAGCTTTTTCAGCTTTATCATGGACGGGTCAACAGACATAGCTGGTGTTGAGCAGGAAAGCATATATGTTAGATATGTCCACAAAGGAAAAGCAACAGAGATCTATGTGAATGTGTTTTAATGTTTCAATATTTTTTTGGTCCAGTAACATATCATTCGGGACCGAATGTCCAGTGAAGGATTTTGTCTTTTGGCGAGGGCTGCCAGTCATAACAATTATTTATGGACTATTCTTACGACATGCAACGCATAACGCATGATAGTTAATAGTTCCGGTAACGCATGCGCAGTTACAAATTGTTGGACTTGTATATCCTCCGTATACTTTCCGTATATCAAGGAATGATGCAAAAATCCTAACCCTAACCCCAGCTCCAAGAAACGGTATTGCTAGGGTTAGAATACCGTTTCAAATTCTTGCCCATAAAAACGTGTAGTTGGCTCGGTATCCAAACATCGACACAGCTAGCGTCGCATGTAATAGCTCAAACGAATCTATAAACCTCTGGCTTGCTCGCGGTAACTGGGCGCTACTGGGCGCTACTTATTTATCGAGTTATGCCGTATTTTCTGAGATGAATTGGATCAAAACAACCGGACAGCCGCCATGTCCGCCATGTTCAGTGCGACTAAAATCGGCAATGGACCTGATTTTCACAGTGCGTAGGTATAACACAAGGCAAGTACATGTCTTCGCAATGATAATTATTAAGTTGTTGTAGATTGATGTTTCCTGGTTTTCAATGTTTTAATATTTATATATATACGAGTATATGATGCTTATTTATGCTCACGCCAACGCGAGTTGCAACGCTATGATATGTTATGTCATTTCGGGTTTTCCGCGTTCCGATCAATAAGCATGCGCAATGGAAACATGGCGGTTGGCGGTTAAGTTGAAATTTCGGTTCGGCTCTTGAAATTTACACTGTGCACAGCGAACTGAGGTATTAGTTTTAATAACAATGCTGGAATACTGTAACTTATAAGGTGAAGATACTTAATACAAAACAAGGCAGAAATGCTTGGATGGTTATTTTATTTGAGATATACGTAATTCTTCGGCAGTTTTTGTAGAGGTACAAGATTTTCCAATGGATGGGTGTCAGGCTGTATATTGACGTTCGTCACACAGCCTGGTTGGGTTACCCCAACCCCAACCCCAACCCGAACCCTAACACTAACTATAAACCGACTCGGCTATCTTATATACTGTCTATGGTATCCCAAACAATATCTATGATGTATAGATAGCCACTCCCCATGTCGTAAGAATAGTCCATAAATAATTGTTACGACTGGTCGTAAGAATAGCCACTACCAAAAAATAATGGTAAATAAACACGAAATGTATTTAGTACCAAAGTCTTAATGTTTCTCTACTCTATTTCGCCTATTATTTCCGATAATTACCTGTAAATTCCGCTCCAATGCTCATCTGCAACACACAAGTACACCGCACGCAAGCCCTCTGCACAAAGTGACAAACAACATGAATAAGAGAGCAGGTGGGAAAGCCTAAATCGCAAAATTCGCTCGACGCTGGGCCTTCCATTATACTCTCCGCGCAAGGCCGGAAGTTGCAGGGGAGGTATCGGTAATGTGATTCGCTCTCGTGTTGCGTGTTCGTGTTGTGTGCTGTAGCCAGCAGCGGCCAGGCTGTTATACACTTGTTATACAGTTTACACGGCCGTTGGTGCGATCGATTCAGCACCAGCTCGCCTTAGTGCATCCAGTCGAGCAGCAGCTCGCCTTAGGCGCGTCCAGTCAGCCAGTAGCCAAGCCAGCGGCAGCTGTTATTACACATGGTATAACATGTTACACGCTCGCGGAGGTATGCACTCTCTTTGAGTGCCCTCTGTCTAGTTTCATATGATTACAGAACAATTACACAACCAACAGCCTCCATCTTGGTATCTATGTGTAGCTAAATGTTTACTTGTTCGAATTATAACTCTGTCCTTTGTTCTTACCTACTCCCGCCAGAGATATCTCGTGAAATCCTGCAGGAAATGTTCTCTCCTTGAAAATGTAAACCGGACGAGATGTCTGTTTATACACGAGTAATGGGGCGCATTGCATGCCGGGATGAGCTGCTGCCTGTCTCCGAGCTCCGTTTCGAGGCCCGCCAAGCCAAGCATAATGCGCGCGGGCATGACGTCACACACACGACTACAGTGATTGGTCGAAAGATCGAGTAGCGCCGTTAGGGATTAAATTTTCAGATGATACGTCCGGTTTACATTTTCACAGAGAGAACATTTCCTGCAGGATTTTACGAGATATCTCTGGCGGGAGTACGTAAGAACAAAGGACAGCGTTATAATTCGAACAAGTGAACATTTAGCTACACATAGATACCAAGATGGCGGCTATTGGTTGTGTATTTGTTCTGTAATCATGTGAAATGAAGCGAGCGTCAAGCGAATTTTTCTATCACGCTTTCACACCTGCTCTCTTATTCATGTTGTTTGTGCATAGGGCGTGCGTGCGGTGTACTTGTGTGTTGCAGATGAGCATTTGAGCGGCATTTACAGGTAATTATCGGCAATAATAGGCGAAATAGAGTAGAGAAACATTAAGACTTTGGTAGTAAATACATTTCGTGTTTATTTACCTTCATTTTTTTTTTATGAGACGTTCTAAGTGCTTGTGGACTAGTACTCGGCTTGTCTGACACTGTACTGTGTACTTCTGTATGTGCTACGGTAGCCCTAGCCCGACCAGACTCTACGGCTATTTCACGTCGTAGGAGGACTGTTTCATGTCGACTGTTTCACGTCACGTATTGAGAAGCGAGAAAGGTAAAGTGCTGTGGCTATGGTAGCTGAACAGGATGACTGTTTCACGTCGTAGGACGTGACGCGTAGTGAGAAGCGAGAAGGTAAACTTGTTGCTGTGGCTATGGTTGGCCTGAAACAGGATGACTGTTTCACGTCATGAACGTGTAGATTAGTGAGAAGCGAGAAGGTACTTGTTGCTGCTGGTATGGTAGCGCTGAACAGGATGGCGTTTCACGTCGTAGACGTTGACGCGTAGTGAGAAGCAAGAAGGTAACTTGTGCTGTGGCTATGGTAGCCTGAACAGGATGACTGTTTCACGTCGTAGGACGTGACGCGTAGTGAGAGCGAGAAGTAACTTGTGCTGTGGCTATGGTAGCCTGAACAGGATGCTGCGTTCACGTGTTAGGAGTGCGCATAGTGAGACGAGAGGTATTGTGCTGTGGGGCTATGGTACCCAGAAGGTGACTGTTCACGTCGTAGGACGTGACGCTAGTGAGAAGCCGAGAAGGTAATTGTGCTTGCATATGGTGAGCCTGGCCAGGATGACTGTGTTTAGTCGTGGAGTGACGCGTGTGAGAAGCGAGAAGGTAACTTGTGCTGTGGCATGGGTAGCCCTGAACAGGATGACTGTTTCACGTCGTAGGACGTGACGCGTAGTGAGAAGCGAGAAGGTAACTTGTGCTGTGGCTATGGTAGCCTGAACAGGATGACTGTTTCACGTCGTAGGACGTGACGCGTAGTGAGAAGCGAGAAGGTAACTTGTGGTGGCGTATGGTAGCCTTGAACAGGTATGCTGTTTCAACGTATGTAGTTGAAGCGAGAAGGTAACTGTGCTGTGGCTATGGTAGCCTGAACAGGATGACTGTTTCACGTCATGGAGTGAGTGTAGTGGAGAAGCGGAGAAGGTAATTGTGCTGTGGTTGGTAGGGCCTGAAAGGGATGAGTGTTTTTTGACGTCGTAGAAGTGAGCATAGTGAGAAGGAGAAGGAACTTGTTGCTGTGGCTATCGGTAGCTGACACGGATGGTGTTCAGGTCGTAGGAACGTGACGGTAGTGAGGCGAGAAGAGTAACGTGTGCTGTGGCATGGTTAGCTGAGGTATGGACTGTATTTCACGTCGTAGGACGTGACCGTAGTGAGAAGCGAGAAGGTAACTTGTGCTGTGGCTATGGTAGCCTGACAGGATGACTGTTTCACGTCGTAGGACGTGCGCGGTAGTTGAAGCAAGAAGGTAATGTGTGCTGTGGCTATGAGCCTGACAGGTGACCGTTTCACGTACGAACGCAACCGGCAGTCGATAGGACGTGACGCGTAGTGAGAAGCGAGAAGGTAACTTGTGCTAGTGCTACGCCCACTGCATATTGTAATTTGTAGTACAGTAAAGTTTACACAGTTGCAGTCGTCATTCGATTCGGCACAGCGTGCTATCGCCCCCTCCCCCAAAGCGCTGCCAAAACTTAAATTGTGAGTGTTTATCTTCGCGTAAGATACAGAAATGCACATGTATATCACTGTACATCAATTTCTGATACACAGGCGTCAATGGGGAGATGGATAAGAAACGGAAGAGCATGTATATTTCACTGTATGTCATATGCTGATGCACAGGCATCAATGCACAAGGGGGGGGGGAGTAAGGAAAAAAAGCACACCCGTACATTAAGTTATGATGAAATTGTTTGGACTGTTCAATAAATATTTGACATCCCTTATCCTCTAAAAACCGTATCTATGTTTAGGAGTGTCACTCACACTGCTCACCTCATCCAGGAACAGTGTTTTTCCTGGATAAAATCGTGAACGAGCTGACTGGGTAAAGTAAGTGAATGCCGAAGGCACTAACATGAACACTTTCATATTAAACGTGCCCAGCACATGCCTAACTAGTGCATTCCTGGCAAGTGGCAAGTGCGGTCGTGCCCACGGTGTTTGCCTTTATGTGTAGCAGCACTGATCAATGCGTAGGGGTGCCGTGTAGGTAACGTTGGAGAAGAAACCAGGACTGGGCAGTGCCTGCCGGATAACGATTTAGGGGACCGGAGAATTCGCAGCAACACGGCAACTTTATGAAATATTGAGTAAGGCAGATAAAAAATCAGTAAGCTGACCAATGTCGCTTATCATATACGAGGGAGAACAGTGCAGGATGATTGTTTACGAGGTAGAACAGTGCAGTGATGATTGTTTACCACATGCTGTTTTTCAGATGGCAAAGCATGTCACTAGTAATGATTGTAGGACTGACCATTTCTGTTCTGTTTCCATTTCTTTTTTTCTCAAGAAAAAATGCATCTTAAGAACTATTTTTATGTTATGCAGCATTTATGTATTTGTTTTATTATAAATAAATTTAATTACAATGTTAACAAAACAGTAATGTAAATTTATTTTCCCTTGGATTTGCTTTGCAGGGTAGCGTGTACTGCATACACACAAGATGGATGAGCCATTTTCCAACCCCCTCCCTCCGGAGCAACACCTCCTGCAGGAGAATGACTCCGACGAATACGAGGATGACCTGTAAGTCTGTCAGAGAATCCAGCAAGACATCCACCGAACTATGAGTGAAAAACGTGTCAGCTTTTTACAGCAGCTGTTCTTCGTCGTGGTATTCATGCGCATTCACACTGTGAAAGCACATCGGTGACACCATACCCCATCAAGAAATTATCGTTTGAATAATCATTTCATCCGAACCAATTCCCTTTTCTGTTCGTGAGTCGTATGGCATATGGCGTATGTCGTTGGCGGAGGTGTTCACTCTCCGTGAGTGCACTCTGTCTAGTTATTAATGTTGTGCGTTTGTTACGTCGTTGTCACAACAACGTTGTACAGGCATTCGATGACAAACGAAGACTTCCGGAAGCTGATGATGACACCCAGAGCGCCGATGCCATCGCAGACGCAGAGTGCGAGACTGCACACCAACAGTGACATGCCGGAACACACCGAAAAGAGAGAGGCTGCAGAGGCCAGGAGGAAGAAGAAGAGGTCTGTGCAGCATATGAAGTGAAAAAACTGACAATGTTCCATACAGGGTGTTTTTAGGGATTCACAAATTAGTTCAGAAACACAAATAGCAATTTATACTAATAACTAATAAGTACAGATGTGGTTAGCATTATTGCTGCTGTAATATTATTGACCATAGGTTTTTAGTGTTTCATTCAGCAAAATGTCCATGTTTGTGCGTTTTTTCAGGTGAGGGTATGATTATGTTAGGTAGGTTGATCGTGATGGTATTATCTATTTTAGTTATTATGCAAAGCTGAAGAAGTTGGAGGAAGAGAAGAATGCAGAGCTTGCGCGAAAGTACCGTGATCGTGTGAGTACAATACTTAACACATACATTACATGAATGCCTGAACAAATGTTCATCTTCGTGTTCATGAATTATTGAACGAACAGTCCGCCTAAATATTTATTTGCACGTCAGGTTACAATTTTATGAATTCTCAGACATTATTTTATTATGTTTGGAGGTGAGCTCATCTTGACTTTAACGCTTTCTCTTTTAGGCTAAGGAGAGGCGAGAGGGGGATAACAAGGACTACGCAGATGTTGAACAGATTAGCACGACGGCTAACTATAGAGCTGTAGCACCAGACATCAAATCGTAAGTATTACCATACCACTGCTACATTGCTCCTAGTCTATTACAAAGACAAACACAGTGACAGAGATTGTAATTAGTGTGTTTCAGAAAATAATTGTTAATTTAACCAGAACATTCAGAATACATTCGGTCAAGCATGTGCTAGCAGTCTCCTCTATAGAATTAACATCTGCCTATAAAGGAGACTTTTGGTATTTCATTTGAATCTACAGTGATACCGCCGCTATAGAATGGACACCTGTCTAGTATATAGGCCACTGCATAGGTATATCTCTCGAGTGACCATCATATCGAGGTTTGACTGTACTTGACTATGAGATGGAGTGATTTGCTTATAAACACTCTCTCACACCACATTGGCAGGACATCTGATGCAGCGGAGCGGCGCAGACAAACGATCCAGGAGTCCAAGTTCTTGGGAGGTGACATGGAGCATACTCACTTGGTGAAAGGACTGGATTACGCCCTGCTGCAGAAGGTATGAATCCTGCTCCTAGGCAATCCTGCTTTAGCATGATGTTTTGTCATCTGTGTTGAACTGTTTTGAGCTCATCTGACATAGTCAGATGCAGCTTGTAGAATCGCATGATCGTCCGTCCGTCCGTCCTGCAGCTTGTAGAATCGCATGATCGTCCGTCCGTCCGTCCGTCCGTCAACAGTTGGGCACAAATCTTAACCGCTCGACGTACGGTCACGATATTCGGGATGTGGGGGGGTAATCCGAAAACGAGTTGGGATGTCGAAGCTGGGGATCAAAGGTCAAAGGTCAAGAGGTGTAAAA